GACTCAAGTCGAGGGGATGCAAGGGGGCGGCACTCTATTAATTTCGGAAATATTTCGCGCTCCTGTTGTACGAGTTGAAAACGGAAAAGAGAGCGGGAGAGAGATTTGTCCCCCGCGGTGTCTGCTGTCTGCCGCCCCGTGCGGCTCGCCGCTGCTGGCTTGGCGCAGTAATCTTTTTTTCAAAACTGTTTGTGTCAAAAACCAATAATTCACGGGTCGCAACAAATCTCTGTCGCTCGGGCTGGCTCTGTGGCCTGGGGCTGGCCGGGGCCGCCCTCGCCGCCACCCCTTGTGCCCCCTGACATCACGTACATTGGCCCAGGGGAGCCATCGTTCAACCCCTCACTTGCGGGGGTGGCTGCAGCACCCCTTCTCCGGGGAGGCGGGCGGCGCTGGCCCGGCGGCGGCAGCGGCGGCAGCGGCGGCAGCGGCGGCCACTTCTAGTCCGCATCGCGCACATGATCTGCAAAAGTTGCGGCCGCGCCTGATGCCGGGACTTTGGCGCTACCATGGGCGCCCCGAGGTCGCCGCCGACGTGGTCGCCTAAGCCAGGTCGAGCCTTCTTCCCATGTCTTTGACGGCCACCTCACGCGACACTCCGGTCCGTCCATCGGGGACCCCCCGACCAGGTGGACCAGAGTCACAGACTTCCCCTTTTCCACGGCCCTGGCAGTGTTTTTGACCCGCTCTCGCTGAATGGCGGGGTCGTGTTCGGTCTCATTCAATTACGGTCGGTTGGCAGTGAAATAGTGGTTGGGTCCGGACCGGTCACCGGTCACTACTGGAGTGCGATCCGCTGTTGGCCGTAATTATTCAATCTCCGCGCGGCTCGTCCCGCCACCGCCTCGCGATAAACAATGCCGTGCCGCTAATGCCTGGTGGACCCGCCGCCATCATGGTGACCGGGCACAACCCTGAGCGGACCTGGGACCGGTTCCTAGTGGTGCTGCTGGTGGTGGTTGGTGCGGTATGCTGAGTGTCCGGGACGCGCGGACACCCTGCCCGCCCCCCTTCTGTTGCCCCTAATGGTGATCTGTTGCCCACCGACGCGACGCTGGCCTCGCCGCCCGCCCCCCCTCGAGGATCGTAGGCGAGCCCATCAGGACTGATATGGCCCCAGTCAGCACACTTCACTATCACTATAAAAAAGGCAAACGCCGTGGGGCCGCTGCTGCTGCCATTTGAGCGGAAGGGCCGCCCAAATAACGGAATCGTAAAATCTTCTCTGTCTCTCTTTTCTGCTTTGGCGCGGCACTGTCAGTCAAAAAAATTGCGAGCGCCCCATCTGAAAATCCGCGGAGAGCGGGGAAACAAAAAGAGCGACAGGAAGAAAAACCTGCGCGTACTTTTGATGTTCCGTGTTGCAGGCGCTGCACCCCCCACAACAAACACGCTAAAGGCCACGGGGATTTGCTATTCATCGCAATGCAGACCGCATTATTATTTCAAGGACTGGCCTTCCTTTCTGTGTCACTCCCCCTCCCCTTCCGCGTACAAACGCCACACATGGCGCTTCGGCGCGGGCGGGGCGGGGCGGGACGGGAGGGGGAAAACATAATTTAAAACGGAGAGAGATACATTTCTCCGCGCTGAATAGAATATATGGTGGTTCGTTGGTGGTGAACCACGGGCAAGCCTTGCCGTGTTTAACCCACCCCACTCCTCTCTTTACGTTTTGACTGTGTAAGTATGAAGTTTGAACGATGATACGTAAATATAAATGCAGTAAAGTAAAAGTCAAAATTTTCTAACTCATCGAGCTGTACAATATTTTTCCATGTTCAGTTAATTTTTTAAATTAGTAGGACCTTTTTTTGTTTGTAAAATGTGTACACAACGGTACAACCCGACAACCCGACGGAGTGCCCCAGAGAGCAGATGCAATGGCATTACTTTGACTTCGCCACCACAAGCATAGCAGCATCCCTAACCGTTTTAATTCCATTTTTTTCCTTGCCCCTTTTGTGATAACAACAAGCGGGTGACCGTCCTCTACGGCACCCTTGAAATTCATAACCCCTGTTTGCGGGGGTGGCAATGGGTGGGAGGGAGAGGGTGCGGGGCGCCGGCCGCGGCGGGGCGAGCGAGAAAGATGGAGAGAGGCGCCCCCGAGGGTGGTCTTCGCGGCGGTCCCCAGGGGGGCGGGCTGGCGCGATGTGCGGTCCGGCCCCGGCCTAAGGCGCGACAAGTGCTGATCGCAGCAACGAGCCACCCTTGGGCTTCTTAACGACTGTTGATAAATGGCGACGCGTGCTGAGGAGCGGCGATGTGGCTGCTGCTGCTGGCAGTGCTGGACCACTGTTGGTGGTGGTGGTGATGCTGCTTGGTGGTGGTTGCTGGTTGTGCTGGTGCTTGCTGGTAGTGCTGCTGCTAGTGCGTTCGCCGGGTAGGCCGTGAGAGGCGTTGCCCGGGCGGGGAGGTATTTCGTAGCCCAGAAGGAAAGCTCTGCGTTTAGGATTGTAAACTTCTTCCCGCCCTGCTGCTGCTGCTGCCCCCGGAGCGAACGGTTTCAGGACGCCTACGACGGGCGCCGACGAAGGCTGCCGATGGGTACCGCCACCAGGAGGCCGCCGAAGGGGTCTCCCTGTTAGCGGCAGGAGCAGCCTCCCTCCTGCTGGCGTTGTTGACTGTTGACTCATACCGCAAGTCAACGAGCTCCGCTCTCCGACCCTCCCCGCCGCCCGCGAGGACGACTGTGTGTTGTTTTAAAGATTGATGAGCAGTCTGTGCCGCGGGGGCGGGGCGGGGAGGGCACCCCTTGGTGGCCGCCGCCGCTCTGCCGCGCTTTTCCGTCGGATCGCGACGAAAACATAACAAGTTTTGCGTCGATGGAGTGCGGGGGATAATGTGCGTGATAATGAAAAGGCGACAGTTGGCCGCCCTGACTGTTCTGTCCTGCCTCGCCGGGGCGAATCGTTTGTTTGAGCTGGTGCAATCCCTCATGGTGTACCTGACAGCCTCGCGCGGGGGTGGTACGGCAGCCAGCCGGGCGGTGATTCACAAACGATATATATCGAATTGAAATCGATTGCCGCCATAGTATTCTCCAGGGGAGTTGATGACAAGCCAGTAGGGAAGGGGGGGGGGGGGCGCACTGAGAAGCGATGGAGCAGCAGCAAGGGAGCTACCGATTGACACCTGCTCTGATGTGTTTTCGCGACCCGACCTCCTCTGACCCGGCCCGACTCAACCTCCGGCGCCACGTCACGACTCCGCTAATGGTTTACACCCCGGCGGTTCAGTCAGATTTGATTCTGATTTTGTGCGCCGCCCCGCCGCTGCCGAGGCTGCTGCCGCTCATTCATCACCCGCGGCTGTCGGCGCGCGGCCGCCCCGCTGGTGTGAGTACATGGCGTGGTGGACTCCAAGAAGTGGCTCATGCTCCTGATCGCCGTCCTCCCTTGCTCCGTGCGTGACGAGCCGGCGGCCAGGAGGTGAGAGGCGAGGCGCCCCCCGCATCCATCAGTCAGCCCGCACGCCC